CGACGACGACGACGACGATCAAGAGAGCTTCGACGAGCCGCCAGCAGCCATCCTCAGATTCCGCCCGCGCATGTTTGGCCCCAGCTTCGGCTTTTGCAGCGCTCCCGATGAAGAGGACCAGGTGCGCGCACGAATGAGGCATCGCGTCTACGACTCGGCCCACTACGGCTGGTCCAACGCTTTTGCACCCCTCCACGCCTGGCGCTACAATCCACGACAAGGCCAGCAAGGAAACCACGACCACGACGCGGTCACCGAAAGCGACCTTGCCACTGATCCCGAGCAGCAGTCCGATGAAGAAGATGTCGAGGAGTACGGCATGCGCTTCATCAACAGGCGTGGTGGCAGCGACGATGGAGACGACGATGCGTGGCGCGAGGCTTTCGAGCTCGACGATGCCAGCGACGACATTCCCGACGACCCCGTTCCCATCGAGATCGAGATGAGCGAAGACGAACAAGACACGCGCACCTTTCGCGTCGCCGATCGATACGGCAACCCCATCCCGTCCGACACTGCTGCAGCCAGCGCATCAGCGGCAGCTCGAGGCTGGGATGTCTCGGACAACGACGAACCAGCAGCACGCGATGACAACGCCGAGTCGTCGACCGCCCCAGCTCCCGCGCCGTACCAGCCACCGCAGCATGGCACCTACGACGCCGAGACGAGCACGTACACCTACGAGGGACATCAGCCCATCGGCATCGTCACGGGCAGCCAGAACATCCAGGTCACCGTGGGCGACTCGGTCGACTTTGTAGCCTCGGGCGAGCTCAACGTGCGCTTTGTGCGTCCCGGCATGTTGGCCGAGACCATGCGCGTCACCAGCGGCCACGCAGAACGTCGCGCAGCCACCAACGGCATCGACGAAGAGGAAGACGAGGACATGGACGACGATTACGACGAGGACGCCGAAGAGTGGGACGAAGATGCGGATGAAGAGGACGACGACGACGAGGAGGATGGCCGCTTTGGGCCGTTTTTCGACAGTTTTAGGCCGCTCGATGGCGCATGGGATTATCGAGGCTCGTACGCCGCCGATGAGCTGCAGCCGCTGGTGGCAAAGTGGAAGGCAGAGCACGAGGGCGAAGGCGAAAAGCCGGCCGACAAGGATGGCGGCGCCAACGACACCGACACGTCGGCTGGTCAGATTGTGAGCCTGCGTCGCAAGAGCATTCACTGGGAGCTGGTGGAGGCGATCATGGTGGTCATGTACGCCAACCTTAAGGAGGCGATCTGGCTCGAGAACTGGGGCGTGGGCATCCGCATCCCCAAGGTGTACGACCACGCGGGCGTGCTGGTGCGCGACCCAATGGAGCGACGCGAGTTTCTCGAATTCCCCACGGGCTGGGTCTCGTCGCTGGCCACAGCGGTAGCGCAGAAGAGCGACGCTGAGGACGCCGTCGAGGGAAGCAGCCGTGGCGCCGAGGCGGAAGGTCAGGCTGAAGGTCAAGCGACGTCAAATGCAGACGACGACAAGCCGCACGACTGGGCGCGGTGCGAGAGCTTCTGGGCGGGCACGTATGCGTTTCTGGACTACTCTCACTTTGTCGAGTTCAACGTACGCATGGCGCGGCGTCGACGCGATCAGCTGGCTGCGGCGTCAAATGCGGCGGGCACCGACGGCAAGGCTTCCTCATCGAGCAATGCACCCGGTGGAAATGGCAGCAACGGGCAGCGACCGCCATCGACGCGCGTGCCGAATCTGGTTGGGCAGGAGGAAGCGGTAGGCGACTGTCTGCAGCTCCGCCTCGAGCTTCTGCCCAAGTCGGAGCAGCCTGCGTATCGGCCAGACGAGGAGGGCCAAGAAGACGACTTGGAATATCCTACGCTGTACTTTCGCGGCACGACGGTGACGTACTGGGGCAACGATGCGCCGATGCCGCGCGGCGGGGTGCATGGCAAGGTGCGCCCCGTGTACGCGCGCGACGAAGACGTCGATCCGACCGTCTCGCGCGGCAGGAGGAAGATCGAGGGGCTGCACTGGTCGCTCACGCACGTCTACGACGGCGAGGATCGGTGGCAGCTCGAAGGGATCCAGCCCGGCCCACCGGGTACGCGTGCGCCGATGTTTGGCGTGTGGTCGGACGCGGCGCACGAGGCCGAGAGCCCCAACGGCCCGTTTGTATACTGGATGATGGACGAGCGGCCGTGGAAGGAGATCGAGCGGCTCAACCGCAAAGATGCGCAGGCTGCTGCGGCTGCCAGGACTGCACGCACGTTCTGAGAGCGGGGTGCGCGAAATAGAAAGGCGAATCCACAGTGTTTGGAGCCTAGCCTTTTGTGTGAGTGTGGTGCGATATTGCATGGCGGGTCTGGAGTATGATACAAAAGCGGATGGGGTTTAGAGTTCAAAGTGTTGGGTTGGGTTGGACTGTTGGGTTGACCAATCGTCGAATTCTCCTGTTGATTGGTACTGTTGTCCTTGCCCGCTGCCTGCTGATGTTTTAGATTTTGGGAGCCAGTTCCAATTTGCGACGGCTCTAGCGGTATCGCCTGCCCAACCGACACCCGTGATGCCTAGGGCGGGGGCCAGAATAACCCTCGCAAAGATCTCGCCGAATCCAAGCATGACGCCGTTTAGGAACGGTAGGCCAAAGTTGATGGCTACCGACGAAGAGATGAGAGCCAGACGGCGGGGAAGCGGGATGGTTGAATAAGGGTTGAATGCGGCGAGTGTAAGTGATCCTGTGGGTGGATACGAGTGTTCCGCATCGGAGGGAGCGTCGGAATCCATCTCGCTAGGTGCAGATCCATCTTTCTCGTCGACATATTCCTGCTCCTCGGAGGTGCGTTCATCGCGATGACGTGGGATGATTCGTGGCATCCCCGTAGCAGAAACCGTCGCCTCTGCCTCACTACCCCCCGTAGCCTTGGTGTGAGGCGGATCTCTGTGTTCGCCCATGTTGTCGATTTGAAGCTGCGAGTGAGTCGAATCCAGTTGAGAGTGGTGGACGACAGCTGATGGTGGGCGGTCACGAGCGTTAGCAAAGGGTCCAAAGCCGCACGTTCCGGCGCGGCTCTCATGCGGATCCGATCGCGCGCGGCGGCGGTCGATGTGGAGGCACGCTTCAATTCTCAATGTTAGGCCGCCATCTTCTCCTTTTTCGTGGGGATTTGCGGGATTTGCGCGGGTTTCCACACGGGAACGTCAAATCGAAACCGTCGGTTGGAATTGTTCCGAGGCACCGCGTCCTCAATCTCATCATCCCTTCTCTCGCTGGATAGCCGAGTCGGCAAGAGGGAGGGTATCCCCGCTCCGCCTCGACTTGACTTTGTCGTCAAGGCAGCAGCTGCTTCGAACAATCGATGCAGGAAACCCCCCTCCACGCAGAAAGGGTCGGTCTGGACGTGCGGTGTTTGTCGGTCGCCGCGGCGGATGTGATGGACGTGGTCGCACGACCTTTGCGTACAGTATTTTAAATATTTGGAAGCGCCGTTCGGCAGATGTGAAACAGCGCCAAACCGAGGCGATTTCGCCGGGGTTTTTTTTTCGCGTTTGTCAAATTTGGCCGCGGGATCTTCTGTGTCCTGAGAGACTTCTGTTATCTTTCCAGGTTGGCGGAGAAGCATTAGATCCATCTTACTCGCCCGCCCCGCTCTTCCCTCCGCCTTGTCTTCCTACCCCCACCTCCTAGTACCCCTGGTCCCGGTCGGAGCAAGCCAGAGCGTCGCCGACATGTCCAACACCAGCCCACTCGAGCCCTGCCCACCCGATGGTGCGCCCGTCACCCGCTTCACCCTCCTCGAGCCGGAGCACGATTCGGTCCTGGTTCAGCAACTGGAGCCGGAGAACAAGATCGTAGCTATCAGCGACGCTACCCCCCGCACATCGTCCGGTGTTGACACCAAGACCGACGACGCCAGCGACGCCATCCCCGACCACCACCTCCCGCCTCGCCCAGAGCTCGACGAGATCGTCCAGGCCGCCCACCTCGCCCACGACCAACGCACACCCGGCGAAAAGCGAGACGAGCGCATCTCGTTCGACTCTGACAATGCCACCGACCAAAAGCACGACGACACGCGTCAGTCGATCTATCTCGTCGACGAGGACATCCAGCTGCATCTGCGCTTCTACCGCCGCAACATCCCCATGCTCATCCTCTGGTATTCGCTCTGCATCGTCACCGCGGGCATCTGGTTCATCGTGGACAACTGGGCGAACAACAAGTTCTGGATCCGCTGGAACACTTCCCCCGCCACGCTCAAGGCGCAGTCCAACAACGACAAGCTCGTGCGCATCAAGAGCAAGCATGGCGAAGTCGAAATCTTGTCGCTCAAGCGCGCCACTTTTCCGCATCCCATGCCCTTCGCCCAGGTCTTCCCACCCAGCCTCAAGGAGCCCTTCCGCTCTCCTGACGATGTCGTTGCCGCCGCCACGTCGACAGCCAGCACGTCAACGAGCGATACTAACACCGTCGAGCAGCTGGGATACGTCGACATCCTCGAGTACCGCGCCACCACCTTCCTCCTTCACCCCGTCACCGGCAAGTTCCACCTGCTCGCATCGTGGCGCGACCCCGCCTGGGCCACGGCGCTCACCTCCACAGGCCTCCCCTCCACCCAGCTACGCGACAGGCACGCGCTTTTCGGCCCCAACCAGGTCTCGGTCAAGGGAAAGTCGGTGCTCGACATCATGATCGAAGAAGTACTCCATCCCTTCTACATCTTTCAGATCTACTCCATCGTACTGTGGTGTAACGATGAGTACGTGCCCTACGCCATCGTCATTGGCATCGTCTCGATCATTGGTATCCTCGCAACCACCGTCACAACAAAGGCAGCCATCGAGAAACTCAAAAAGATGAGCAGGTTCAGCTGCGACGTCTCGGTCCTCCGCGCCTCTCCCTCGACCGCAACCCCCGCCGCCTCGCCCCTCGGCGCCACCGCCTCGACAGAGTCCGACGAGAAGCAGCTCGGCGACGTCCAGCCCGCCTGGAAGCAGCTCAACAGCGAAGACCTCGTCCCCGGCGACATTGTCGACCTCGGCGCCAAGTACGGCGACGCTAGCGCCGACTCCTTCGGGCACCGACTCATCGAAACCCTTCCCTGCGACCTGGTACTTCTGGAGGGTGACTGCATTGTCAACGAGTCCATGCTTACGGGCGAGTCGGTACCCGTGGTCAAGTCTGCCGTCTCCCGTGCCGACCTTTCCGACGTTCTGGCCGCCGGGAACGGCGACTTGGCCCGGCTTGACAAGAACGTGCTCTACTCTGGCACAAAGCTCATCCGCGTACGGCCAGGAGCGTCCAACGCTACGCGTGCGCTCGTCATTCGAACCGGATTCTCCACCGCCAAGGGATCCCTCGTCCGCCAAATGCTCTTCCCGCGCCCAATCTCGCACAAGTTCTACCGGGACGCCTTCTACTTCATCGGGAACCTCTTCATCATCGCCACGATCGGTATGGTGGCCAGTATAATCTATTTTAAGATCATCGGGGTCAGCTCCGAGGAGATCGCCTTGCGTTCGCTCGACGTGCTCACGATCGCCGTGCCCCCAGCGCTGCCCGCTACGCTCTCGATCTGCGTGACTTTCTCCATCGCACGCCTCAAGCGCGGAGACATCTTCTGCCTCAGCCCTCAGCGTATCAACGTCGCTGGCATGGTCAACATGTTTGTCTTTGACAAGACAGGTACTCTCACCGAGGAGGGTCTCGACGTGCTTGGAATTCGTACGGTTCGTGGAGGCAAGTTTACCGACCTTGTCCAGCACGGCGACCAGACCAGCCGGGACAGCGGCGAGGGCGAGCTTACCCTCGTCGAGGCTATGGCTACGGCACACGACCTCAACCTGCTCGATGGCGAGCCCATCGGCGAGCCGCTCGAGGTCAAAATGCTCGAGTGGACGCGCCGTCAGCTCCAGGACGATGCTACGCTTGCGCCCGTGCGCCTTGCCAACGAGTCGGCCGCCCAGCAACCGCAAACGGATCGAAGGCCGTTGACGAAGGACGGTACGCTGGCTCGTGTGCCCGTGATCCTTGCCGACGGCGCGCGCGCTTCGCTAGCAGTGGTACGCACGTTCGAATTCACCGCCTCGCTGCGCCGGATGAGCGTCATCGTCAAGCGCGACAACGAACGAGGTGCGCAGGTGTACTGCAAGGGAGCGCCCGAGTCGATTGCCTCGCTGTGCCATCCATCGTCGCTACCGAGCGACTACAATGCGGTGTTGGACAGGTGCACGCGTTCGGGCTTCCGCGTGCTGGCCGTTGCGGGCAAGCACATCGACGCGCTCGGCTGGAACGGCGCCCAGACGCTCACGCGCACCCAGGCCGAGAGCGCGCTCGACTTTCTCGGCCTGATCGTATTCGAGAACAAGCTCAAGCCCGCCACGACGGCGTCGATCGCCACCATCGCCGGCGATGCAAGGCTGCCCATCAAGATGTGCACGGGCGACTCGGTGCTCACCGCCGTCTCGGTGGGCAAGGAGTGTGGAATCGTCGATGCGCACGCCGAGGTGTTTACGCCTCGATTGGCGCACGCGCACGACAAGGACTCCAAAGCTCCCGCTGTCCTTGAGTGGGTCAGCGTCGACAACGAGCACAACAGGCTCGATGCGTACACGCTCGACCCCGTTTCGCGCGAGGGCGAGACGCCAAGGAGACTCAAGGACGTCGAACTTGCCGTGTCGGGAGAGATTCTGCGAACGCTCATTGAGTTTTGCTCCGCCGAAACGCTCGCGCGCATCCTGGTGCACTGCAAGATCTTTGGCCGCTTCTCGCCCGAGCAAAAGCAGGAGCTCGTCGAGCGTCTCCAGACGCATGGCTACGTCGTCGCCTTCACGGGTGACGGCGCCAACGACTGCGGTGCGCTCAAATCCGCCGACGTCGGTCTGTCGCTCTCGGAGGCGGAAGCATCGGTAGCCGCGCCGTTCACATCGAGGAAGAAGGACATCTCGGCCATCATCCATCTGATCCGCGAAGGTCGCTCGACGCTGAGCGTCTCCTTTGCCATGTTCAAATTCATGAGCTGCTACTCGCTCGCCGAGTACTTTACCGTCATCCTGCTGTACGGCAAGGCGACGTCGCTGGACAACGCCGAGTATCTGTTCATCGACATCTTTTGCGTGCTCCCCATCGCGATTGGGCTCGCCAACTCGTTGCCGGCCAAGAAGCTCTTCCGCTTGCCGCCCGAGGCGAGGCTGTCGTCGTCCAAGCCCGTCGTATCGATGCTGGGTCAGGTCATCCTTGGCTTCCTTGCGCAGACGGTGGTGTACGTGGTGCTGCACCAGAAGAGCTGGTACGAACCGCCCGAGTTCGACCCCGAGGATCTGACGCTCAACGACATGGACAACACCGCACTCTTCCGCACCTCGGTCTTCTCCTACATCATCGCCGGATTGGCCTACTCGCTCGGACCACCCCACCGTCAGCTGCTCTGCTTCAACTGGATCCTCGCACCCGCCCTCGTCATCTTGTCGATTTTCTCGTTCTACTTCCTCTTCCTCACCGGCGGTCCGTTCTTCAGCCTGTTTGGTTTCGTCGAGATGCCTCACCACTTTAGCTGGATCATCTTTGGCGTGGTCATGGCGCAGTTCGGCCTCGGCATGATGTTCGAGTTCTTCGCCGTGGCTCCGGTGGCCAGGGCGGTCGCCAAGCCTTTCAATGCTGCCAAGAAGAGGCTAGGCGGCAAGAAGAAGAAGCCGTACAGGATCACCGAAAAGGCCATCTACTCGTGATCTTTTCCCACCCCTTCCCTGTGGATCAACAGGATCCCAAAATGTACACTACCCTCTGCAACGCAAAATTCGCAAACTTCGCACCTACTTTCCATTTCCGGTTGCTGTATTCCGCGGGTCGATGGCGGATCGCGTGGCGAGCATGGATCCATGCATCCACGGCCGCCAAAAGTTGAGATGTCAGCGCGAAGATTTCCTGATATGGAAGATAGCGGTTGGCGGCCCGCATCTTGGCCGTCCAGCCGGTTCGGAGGGATGGGAGATGACAAGGATGGCGCGTGCGGGTGGTAAGGCGGGGTAAAGGGCATGAACGGAACGGCAGCGTGGAGCTTCGAGAAGATCTGGGGAAGCGCGGGGAGGGCCCCAGCGAATGAGGAAAGGTGCAAGGCAGAGTTCGACCGAAACCCGGTTGGCGTGATTGCATGTCGCATGATGGAAGCTTGATGCTCGACGTGCAACCAACGGCGATGCAGGCAGTGCGGAGCTCCAACACAAACGTAAAGTCGTCTTGCCCCGGGCTCGCCCCACTGAAGCCAGGGCAATGCATCACCTCGCCCCGCAGAGAATCCTTCCGCTGCCCCCTTTAGGCCAGCGCTTGCCCCCGATAGGTCCGAATGCACTGGCTGAGGCCAGCGCCATCATCGCAACCAGCAGCGTCAAGATCTTCGGATCGCGGCGCTTCATGCATCGGCTCAATGGGCTACGCCGAGCCCGAGTCGAGCCCCAACAGCCTTCCTGCCTCGCTAGCCGAGCCGCAAATTGAACCGCTCCCTTTCCTTCCTGTCAGCTTCTCTGCGCCTCCGTTCAACTCGTCCCGCCGCTCTAAGGCAGCCACCTTGCCCCTCGACGTAGATCCGTCGGCTTGTGTACAGTGGCGTGGTTGCGATCGATGGTGCTCAGGGTACGGTTGCAAGGCAATAAGGTTTGCTCGGCGGCGGAGTAGGGCCTGCATGTCGCCATCCATCCCGCGCCGCCTCGGTAGGCATTGACGCACTGGCAGCCAGCCAGTACGGCGAGACTACGGAGCGACGCGGCCGTTGGATTGCGCCTAAGCGAACAACACTTGCCCAACCCGATCCACTCGCCTGGTCGGCAAAGTGTGGAGAAGAGCCTGTGGGGAAGCAGACTGTCTGCATACTGCAGCACGGAAGCGTCAACTCCGACAGCGACCATCTCCATTTTGCAATTGCCTGAGAGCCGGAGAGGCGAAAGGTGTGCAGCTCTGCACGTCGGCAATCTCTCGACGCGGCGGGCGGCGTTGGATTTGCAGCTTTTGACGTCTGGCGAAGGCCGCGCCGTCGAGGGAAATGCTGCGGTTGGTCCGGCTCACCTCGATCCGAGCCGCGCTAATGGCCAAACTGCCATCCATGCTCGGCAGCATCACAGCTGTGCAACACTATGCTGTCCATCGTCCCCATCCAGATCTCGGAGAGATTTTCGCACTCCGTTTCCGCCGCTGCAAGGTTGGCACGGCGATGGCGCTCGCCGCCCGCAATGCCAATCCGTCGGTGCAGTTCCTCCGGCCCTGGCGTCTGTTGCCGGTTTGGGGCCCCTCGTGCAAACGCGCGCCCTCGGCTGGGCGAACCCTCGATGACATGGATCGTGACGAGCAGCCCGCCTCTGCAAGAGCGACGATCACCTCCGAGACAAGAAAACTGCGTTCGAGGGCGAAAGGCCCCACTCATACCTCCTTGGGGTTGGGCCCCGCGTGTGCCCAAGCGAGAGGCGTGGTTGTTGGTGTGGACCCTGACTACGCCCGCATCCTCGCGTTCCTCTCCTCCGCCTCCACACGCCACAACAACCCTCTCTCTCTCGCAACCGTGCACGGTTCGTGTGCACCCTCGTCCCCCCCACGCCCGGAGTTCGCCTCGGCCTGCACTTGCACCACCATCTCGCTTGAGTCGTCAGGACCTGCAGTAGTGTCTACCTCCGCTGCTGCTGCGTCCTTTCTGCCCTCTGCTCGGACTTCGTTGCTGTCCGCTCCCTTGGCCCAGCCCGGAATAGCACAGCTCGCTTCTGCATTACTCTCGCTTGCCCCACCCAGGATCAGCCCGCATCTCCGCGCATCAGCTGCTCCGCCTCGACCATCACAGCCCGCCGCATCACGCATCTCGCATCAAGCGCACCCAGAACTAAGCTCGCTTGGCCGCAGCTTTTTTTTGGCTATTCCGGCCCGGTTTCATCGTCTTCTTCTTGCTGCCACATTTTGTCAGGCTAAGGCCAGCGCAGGGCACCGCATCCTAGACGAAGCTCGAAGTTTCGCCGATTTGCATCAAGCTCAACAACGTCTCATTTGCACGCCCAA